AGCCCTTTTCCTTGCTTTGTCGATGGGGTTGAGGTATGCTGATTTGAGGTGTTTTTCGTTGCGTTTGACCCATCGAGAAACCCAATTTCCACCGGGCCTTTTGCCAGCAATCTCTTGAGCTATATTGCGCACCATAGCTTGTGTTGGAGGAAGCCCACGCTCTGAGAGGTCATTGATATACTTGATAAGAGCCCGAGTCTGCCCTGGCTTGAGCAACTGTTGAGAATTGTAGCTATTCTCTTTGGAAGTAGTCTTTCCCCGGTGGCGCTTAGAAAGGGTGCTTCTGTTAACACCATGCTCAGTAGCGACATCCTGGATCTTCCTGTTGGGGTTGAGACGAAGCTCTGCGAGTGCAGCTTCAATTCCAGCCATTACTTAGGCAATTTGGTGGAAATTTGATGAGGTTGTGGGTTTTTGAAGATGGCGGTGTGGGAAGAGGAGACCGTGCACGAGGTGTCAGCGTGCACGAGCCGTCGAAGTCTTCTAAGCCCTACAGCGACTATCAAGATCCCTTCAGAGAGGCGAAGATCTGTCGGTGTCATTGCTCCTAGAACGCTTTCTTTAAATTCCAAGGAGCATCGAGTACCTATTAAGCAGCCTCGAAACTCCAGCGACAATGATGACTAGAAGGTCGAATTGTGTCGAAGACAAGACATACAAAGTCGTCTGAAGACCTTTCAAACATGGCATGGGGACATGACCCCATAGCATGACCACTGCTTCAACATGCCACTTAGAGGCTGAACAACTCCCTAATGCCATGGGTAGTTGCTGCAGGCTTGGTCCTAATCTTGAGGATCAGGGAGACTCTCACATAGAATTCTGGTCCAGGCGATTTTAGACGAACCATGCCCATTGCCTGCTGATCGATTTATTTCGATAGAAAGCCCGATTCCCCGATTCCATGGAGAGTGATACCGTGCGTTTTCAAACCCCGGAATCCACAAACCGCTCTCATATCGCATCGCGACTGGCCCGTTAAATTTAGAAGCGCCCTAGCATTGAGCTTAGCCTCAAATTGGACGAACTGGAAGGGCCCTCCGATGCCACGGATACCTGCAATCTGTAGTTTTGAGTCCCGAGGATCACAAACAGCTCTCACATCAACTTCCTTGCTGCTAGAGGTTAGAAGGATCATGCTTGTAGTCTGTCAATGATTTTGATAGAGGAAGAACGATTCCCCGATGCCATAGGCTCTTCTGGTCCGAAGTGTTTGAAGTCCGAGTCCACAACCGACTTTCACACATACTCGGTTACTGCAGGTGGGTTTGTCGGGAAGCACCATGCCGGCCTCTATACCCTCGTCCTGAATGACGAGAGACAGCCCGGGGTGCCATGCCATGTTCCCGTTCAAAGAGAAGAAATCCGGGGACCACATCTCCACGCCCTTGTTGATTTTGAAGTTCCGGCACCAAGTATAAACCCTCTTTACAACGGATTTGGATACCAGAATGCACCCCATTTCGATCTGCTTTCGAAGGACCGCCTATCGTCCAGCTTTCGAACAGGGCTCAAACATATAACGGCAGATATCTTGTTTGGAGGCGTCATGCCACACCTATGCAGGCGAGTGCGAACTTTGGCAAAACCATTGTCCGAGATTCAGGGGAGGTTATTCAGGAACCGGACAGTTCTACTACTGCCATAGCGGGGGTAGACGCTGTATTTGAACCATCCAGTGCCGAATTCTCTCCCCACCCATGGCCACTGAGAAGTCTCGCTTTTGCTCGAACGGGCCATCAATGCACTCAGCCGTAACTTCTGATGCCGATCCCAGAGACTCCATCACTCCCTCGGTAGGGAAAGTTGTCCACAACACACCCCATTCCACATCCCCGTTCGAGGATTAATCCGCCCTCGACAACCCCAGGAACCAGCCACCATGGATAGCACTGGCCGGGCTTTTGATTCCAAGACACCACGCCACACACCCACTACCTCTCCATTGCAAAGGTGTGACCCTTCGTTTATTCTCCACACACCGCACCACGCTCTGCATTTCCCATAATCTACATAGGCGTTGATGATTCGAAACCCACCCACACCACCCACATGAACGAGTGCCTCCTGGTATTTGTCCACCACACACCTCCCTCTCCCTCTCCCCTCTCCCCTCTCCTCTCCATTTTGCCTTTCCTTCCAGCTTTCGCCAGAACCACTCCCACCCACCTCCAACTCCCCCTCCCCATGTGCCATTCGATTGACAGCTTTTCCTCCCTCCCTCCCTCCCTCCCTCCCTCCCTCCCTATCCACCAACTTCTTTCCCACCTCTGCCTCTCCCACCGATGCAGACCTGCTGCTCCCAGAGAGGGGGGGGGGAGGCGTTCTGATATACCCGACCCCCTCCGACGTCGGCGGTCGCGGGGTGACGTGCGGGTTTCACAAGCGTTGCGGGTTGTTCCGGTGGGGATGGAGGGAGAGGGGGAGATAGGCGAGCGTGATGTGGAGGGTAGGGGGAATAAGGGAAGAATCGGAGAGTGTGACGTGTCGACGGCTAGGGGGGTCGGGAGGGTGAGGGAAAGGGAGCCCACGGGAGATCGGAGACACGTGGGGAGATGTCCATGTGAGGGCCATTCCGTCGGTGACGGAGCCGAGGTCGGTATCAGCAGGCCGTGGTACCTTTGTATAGGGGACGAAAGAAAGGAGGCGTGACACACACCGCTCTCCCCCTCCCCCTATCACGCCCATTTCCGCGTCACCCCC